TTGGGGGCCTGTGAGGGTGGGAGACCTGGTAGCACACTGTGGGATTCTATAGCTCGGTGTTGGGTGGAGGCTGTGGGTATGGATTGTAGTGTGTGTTGGGATGGTGTGATAGGTTGTATGGTTCTGAGAATAGTTGTGTGTGTGTGTGTGTGTGTGTGTGTGTGTGTGTGTGTGTGTGTGTGTGTGTGTGTGTGTGTACTCACTCACCTAGTTGGTGAGGTGAGTACACACACACCACGTGTGTGTGTGTGTGTGTGTGTGTGTGTGTGTGTGTGTTATGTGTGTGTATGTGTGTGTGTGTGTGTGTGTGTATGTGTGTATGTGTGTTGTGTGTGTGTGTGTGTTGTGTGATGTGTGTGTGTGTGTATGTGTGTGTGTGTGTATGTTTTGTGTGTGTATGTGTGTGTGTGTGTGTGTGTGTGTGTGTGTGTGTGTGTGTGTGTGTGTGTGTGTGTGTACTCACCTAGTTGTGGTTTCAGGGGTCGATTTACAGCTCCTGGCCCCGCCTCTTCACTGGCCGCTACTAGGTCACTCTTCCTGCTCCATGAGCTTTATCATACCTCTTCATAAAGCTATGTATGGATCCTGCCTCCACTACATCACTTCCCAGACTATTCCACTTCCTGACAACTCTGTGACTGAAGAAATACTTCATAACGTCCCTGTGATTCATCTGAGTCTTCAACTTCCAGTTGTGACTCCTTGTTACTGTGTTCAGTCTCTGGAAAATTCTGTCTCTGTCCACCTTGTCGATTCCTCTCAGTATTTTATATGTCGTTATCATATCCCCACTATCTCTCCTGTCTTCCAGTGTCGTCAGGTCGATTTCTCTTAACCTCTCCTCGTAGGACATGCCCCTTAGCTCCGGGACTAGTCTTGTTGCAAACCTTTGCACTTTCTCTGGTTTCCTTACATGCTTGGCTAGGTGAGGGTTCCAAACTGGTGCTGCATACTCCAATGTGCAGTTTTCTTTTTTAAATCCGTTACGGAGGACTTTTTTATTTAAAGTTGGCAGCTAACATGGGATGAAATGGGCGGTTTAATATTACTCGAGAAACATATCTTCACCTCCTCGCTAACTTTCAGATGTTTTGCCCTATTTTTTTCGTCCCCAAAAAACTCAAATTTCCTGGACTAAGAGCAATGACAGAGATGAAGATGGATGTACAATTAGTGAAAAGCAAGACGAGGTAGCATTCAGTCGGTTAAAAAAAAAAGATATAGATATGTTGACAAAAAAAGCTATAGATCTATAAGTAACTTAAAAAAAAAAAATCTGTGTTTGAGAGGATTTTATTATTATAATCAAGGGGGGAGCGGTAAACCCGTAGGATTATTACAGCGCCTGGGGGGAGGTGGAAAGCATTCAGGCTTAATTCGCGGAACCGGAGCACAGATCCAACTCCCTAAATCAAGAGCCCCTCACCAACATCAAGGCTCCATTCTGTCACTTCAACTCCATATTGTTTCAGACTATGGAACAACTCTTCTCCAGACTGAGGGACTGACCACCTCAAAACTTCGTCTTCAAGTATCTTCTGCTTCTATCAACTTTTCGGTACTCAACTGAAGAAGCCTACTGTGTAGGCGAAACGTTTCGAAATAAAGATACCTAACTGTTGCATATGTGTCTTACCTAACAACCTGTCGGTAGTTTATACCATTTGAATGTTCATCAAGGAACCTTCCCTGAGGGAGTTCGAGAGGAAGAAACTGTTTATACTCACTTTTTTTAATTCAATTTTATGCGAGATATGCTCTTTTATTTATTTTTTTGTTTTGTTTGGTATAAGCTTTGTCGATGAACATAGGTATTCGTTAAATGCGCCTCGTTGAATTTTCCAAATTTTCTCATCAAGAAATTCAGGTTTAGAGATTCTTAGAGTTCTCAAGAACGGATAAACATTCAGCCTGAGGGAATTTTCTCTGTTTAAAAATGTTGAGATAGTTTTATCGGGGTAGTTTATTTGCCAAGATTTTCTTTAAACGTATTGTTTGGATTTATTCAAAGTACTAAAATTTTATTTTAGGTAATGAGAGAGAGGAAGGGCAAAAGGAAGAGGGAAGGAGGAAGGGAAGAAAGGAATAAAAGAAAGAGGGAAAAAGAAAAGGAGGGAGAGGGGGAAGGAAGGAAGGAAAGAGGAAGGTAAGAGGGAGGGAGGCAGGTAACCTCAAACACTCTTACTGATAGATCTTCAAAAATATGTTAACGTTAATGTTTGTGACTGCCACCTTGTGCGTTGATGCCAGCTGATTAAGTCTACAGCATTTTCTTGTCAGTATAAAAATATTAATCTCTACAATAATTATAAATAAACAGAGTGAAGGACGTAGATCATACCTACCCAGTTGGAACTCAGTTTGATGACCTTATCCTTACAGTACTGTGTAGAGAGCACAGCGGCAGCTTCCTGGGAAACTGACGTCTTATTTGCGACAAGAATGGCTGGAACATCTTTCTTATTTGCACTGTTAATAATCTCTACTATTTCAGGGTAGACTGAGGGTGCGACCAGGTGAGAGTCATTCTCGCCTCCTTCAAAATCACTGGTGTTTCTGTGTTCCGCTGCTGCCCACTCACTAATGAGTGCTGCACTCTGTTGCAAGTTGTGTTGCACCTTCACAGAAGTGAGGTGCATCAGAGCCACTAGCATGCAGCACAACACGGCGTACAAAGTTATTTTTCTGACTTCCTTACGGCTCGGTAGGCCTACGAAAGCTTGAGGAAATGATAGCCGCATCGTGCCGTGCAGACATTGACATTACAGGCTGAGCGACTCCACAGTCATGTAAACGAGGTGAAACAGTATTCACTAAACGAAGGTTTTGATCACAAAACGAGGCCGGCGCTGCGGTCACTATCACCCTGAAGGCGCAGTCAGACGGAGAGTCATGCCTTCACCACTCCTCGCACTGAATGACTCACACGGCTTCTGTGCTTCAATATGGATAATACAGTTCAGAGACAAAGTTCTTTAAAGAGATGAGCTGGTCTAAGCAGTGTGTACAAAGCTCAGCAGTAGCGCGCGCACTATCACCTTCCTACACATTATGTGCTGCTCACGTTTGACCAGGCGAGGAGAGAAAGCTTTCCTGCTGAGCAGTTACCAGTTGCGGCCAACCTAACATCCTGTAACATATTATATTTAGTCTCTTATTGAACTATGTGTCTGCATGTTGCAGTGTAGCCATGAAGGTGGAGCTTTATTCGGTATGTCGATTACCTCTTGACGTGAATCTTAGCCAGGAATGACCCTCTAAACGATAAAGTAACTGGTAGCGCCCCTTGTCCCCAGACACATGTAATTAAATAACTGATATTGTACAACTGCTAGATTCCACTACATTATAAAAATCAGATAACCCGTTATGCTAGTTAAATAGGCTGTAGAACTCCTCGTTATTGTTTGTAATCGTGTGGCTGTGTTGAACCAAGAGGAGTTAAGCCACAGTAATGATAACAGTAAAAGGTGTCCCGAGGCAGTAGACGCACCAGATAACCTCGTACACAGAGTTGCCACAGCGTAATTCATATTCCCAGTCTCACGTTTATAACTGCCTGTAGTAGGCAGCTCCTGCCAAATATGCAGAAGAAGCAAGATTTTATTCAGATTATTAACCCTAGGATTAATCAAGCAATATTATCCAAGAAAGCCAGAAAGTGTAGCTTAACATTCAGTGAGGTGCCGAGGTTATCCCATAAGATGCGACTCACATCTAATTAATTCCTAGGTACCTACTGCTAGGTAACACGGAGCAGCAGGTATAAGACCCTTGATTATTTTTATTCGTCTCGCCCCTCCACGGAGTGAACCCGAGTGGCTTTTGATCGCAAGCAGTACTTTCTGCCAATTAATTACAATTTAACTTACAATTAATGGCGCTTACATGCGTAGTAGTTGGTGCTCATATTGGTGTGTGTAAAGTGTGTTACTTGTAATTTATGGTACCCGTAATTTATAAGCGGTGAATTTATTGGGTAATTTGTTGGGCATTGTCACTCTTGCTGTGAGTGAGGCTGTAAACATGGCAACCCTGTCACTCATCCTGTGAGGCTGTAACTATCCTGTCACTTATCCTGTAACCATGGCAGCCCTGTCACTCATTCTGTAAGGTTATAACCATGGCAACCCTGCCACTTATCCTGTGAGTGAGGCTATCACCATGGCAACCCTGCCACTTATCATGTGAGTGAGGCTATCACCATAACCCTATTACTCACCCTGGAAGAGAGATTAACACCATGGCAACCCTGCACTTGCCCAGCAGCACCATGGCAACTGGCTCACTTACTAAGGATACACGTTAACCATTATACTGACAACAATAATAACTGTATCCCAGCCAAAGCTCCCACATGCTCAAAACTCTCGTTAAACTATGCGGGAAAATACCATTTTTACATACAAAAATTTAATTTACAATGGGCTTTTTAAACTTGAAAATGTCCGGGCAATTAAAAAACATATCTATCTATCTATCAAATATATATATTATATATATATATATTTTAAAATATATATATATTTTTAATATTATATATATATAAAATTTTATATATATATTTTATATATATATATATTTATATATATATATATTTTTTTAAATTATTATTTATCACCTGGCCGATTCCACCAAGGCAGGGGGGCCCCCGAAAAAAAAAAAAATTTTACCATCATTCACTCCATCACTGTTTTTGCCAAAAGGGGGGTGTTTTACACTCCATTTTTTAAAAATGCAACATTAACACCCCTCCTTCAGAGTGAAGGCACTTTTATTTCCCCAATCTCCAGGACTCAAGCCCGGGCCTCCCGGTTTCCTAAAAACCCCTTCTTTAAATGTTATTTTGCCTCACACCCCAAACGCCCCGGTCAAGTATTAAAAAACCCATTTTTTCCCATTTTAACCCCTATCAAACCGCCCCAGGGGCACCCTGCTGGAAGCCCAACCCCCCTCGCAAAAAAAAAACCCTCCTTTACCCCCTCCCTCCAACCTTTCCTAGGCCGCCCTACCCCCCCTTCCTTTCCCCTTTCGAATTATAACTTTTTGAAGTTATTCTGTTTTTGCTCCATTCTCTCCACTGCCCCAACCCCCCAAAAAACCCCTTTCCCCAGCCCTTTGGCAACCCGTTTTGGTAAACCCCCCCACCTCTTCCTAATTTTCCCAAAATTTCGAATTCTTGCTTTATTCACAAACCCAAAACATTGCTCTCGACAGACATTTTTCCCCTGCCCCCAGCCCTTTTCCCGCTGGAAAAATTCATTTACCCATGGGTTCCCCCCCATTATAAAAAGCCCTTGGTAAAATATTCTCTAATTTAATTTTCCCCCCTTTTCCTCCAAGGACAAAAATTTTTTGGGCTCCCCAGACTCCTAAGTGCACCCCTCACCCTTTTTCCCCCCTTCCCAATTTTTATGGGTTCAAACCCAATTTTTTATAGACCCATCCGCTGACACTTTTCCCCTCCCAAATATCTGAATACATTTACCCCCTCCATACTCTCTCCCTCCCAAACTGTATCCAAAACTTTCATCACCCCAATTTTTTTTGTTTTCCTCATAACCTTTCTTTTCCTGTATTCACTTTCAATTTTTTTTCTTTTGCCCCCCTACCAAATTTTATCCACCAATCTCTGCAACTTTCTTCGAATCTCCCAAGAAAACTGTGTTTATTGCCCAAAAAGCAACTGTGACAATCCCACTTTTGTGTGTTTTTTTTATCTTTTAAACCCCCGCCTCTTGCCCCAAAACCCTTTGCATTTACTTCTCTTACAACCCCATCTATAAAAATATTTTCAACCCCGGGGGCATCACAAATTCCCTTGTCTAAGGCCCCACTTTTACCCGGGAAATAAATTTTCCCCTTTTCCCACATACTCTAATTGAGCCTCCTATCCTCGTTTTAAAAAAAATCTTCAATGCTTTCAGTAAAATTTTCCTTTTAAACCCCTTTCACCTGCAACATCTGCACATTGCCCTCCATCCACCCCGTTTACGGGCCCTTTTTCCCAAAACCCCTAAATGCCACAAAAGACCTTTTAGCCTTATCTAAAACTGTTCACTTTTTAGGGTTTTTCTGGGAAACACCCGGTCCCACATCCCCTACCTTTCCAAAACCTCCTTGTTCATCTGCCCTTTTCCCATTCTCCGTCTTACTCTTAATTTTTCAATAATAACTCTACCATACACTTTCCCAGGTATGTCTAAGATTTTACCCCCCTAAAATTTTTGCACTTCTTTTATCCCCTTTGTTTTTATAAAAAGGAATTTTGCTGCTCTTGCCAACCCCCTAGGTACCTTACCCTTCCATACATTTATTAAATAATTGCCCAACCACTCCAAAACTATATCCCCACTGCTTTTAACATTTCTATCTTTATCCATCAATTCGGCTGCCTTACCCCCTTTCATTTTACCTACTCCCTCACGAATTCCCCCCACCTCACAAACTGGCTCTTCCTCACTCCTACAAGATGCTGTTCCTCCTTGCCCTATACACGAAATCACAGCTTCCCTATCTTCATCAACATTTAACAAGTCCTCAAAATATTCCTCCATCTTCCCAATACCTCTAACTCTCCATTTTTAATAACTTCCTCTCCTATTTTAACTGACAAATCCATTGTTCTCTAGGCTTTCTTAACTTGTTAATCTCACTCCAAAACTTTTTTTATTTTCAAAAAAATTTGTTGATAACATCTCACCCACTCTTCATTTGCTCTCTTTTACATTGCTTCACCACCCCTCTTAAACCCCCTCTCTTTTTCTCCATATACTTTCCCCCCTTGCATCAAATTCTACTTTGTAAAAATTGTCATATGCTAACTTTTTCTCCCTTACTACTCTCTTCACATCATCATTCCACCAGTCGCTCCTCTTCCCCCCCGCACCCACTTTCCTGTAACCACAAACTTCTGCTGAAAACTCTAACACTACATTTTTAACCTACCCCATACCTCTTCGACCCCATTGCCTATGCTTCATTAGCCCATTATTAAATGTGTTTTATTCTTACCCTAACTGCCCCTCTTTTAGTTTTAAACCTTCCTTTCCTCTTCCTGATGCTTCATTTCTTGTACCCCACACTTTTTCCCTTCCAATGTGTACAACTAGAAAGTGATCTGATATATCTGGGGCCCCCCTCTTTTAACATGTACATCTGAGTCTATCAACAGTCTTTTATCACCAATACAAAATCCAAAAAAACTCTGTCTTTTTCCCCCTACTATATTTTGTATCTTATTTATCCCTTTTTTTTAAAATATGTATTACCTTAACAAACCCTTTTCTTACAAATTTCAATCAAAGGGCCCCCTTTTATCTTTTTCACCTGGCCCCCCAAACTTCCCTACCACACCCCCCCAAAAAATTTTCCCCTCTTTTGATTCAGGCCCCCACCACAATTATCTCTCATTTGGTTCAAAGGCTCCTTACATTCACTTAACATCCCCCAAAATCTCTCTCTCTCCTCTGCATTCCTCTCTCTTCTCCAGGTGCATACACGCTTTTATGACCCACTTCTCGCATCCAACCTTTTTACTTTAATCCACATAATTCTTGAATTTACACATTCATATTCTCTTTTCTACTTCCTTAACTGATATTAAAACATTACTGCTACCCCTTCCTTTGCTCTAACTCTCTCAGATACTTCAGATTTAATCCCATTTATTTCCCCCCACCGAAACTCCCCTACCCCTTCAGCTTTGTTTCGCTTAGGGCCAGGACATCCAACTTCTTTTCATTCATAACATCAGCAATCATTGTTTCTTGTCATCCGCACTACATCCACGCACATTTAAGCATCCCAGTTTTATAAAGTTTTTTCTTCTCCTCTTTTTTAGTAAATGTCTACAGGAGAAGGGGTTACTAGCCCATTGCTCCCGGCATTTATATTATATATATATATATATATATATATATATATATATATATATATATATTATAATATATATATATATATATAATATATATATATTATATATATATATTATATTCGTGTTTTGGCAGGAGTTTCATATACGCAGAATCCTTGAAATATTGCACTGAGGCAAAAAGGCCTCACTGA